CACCCGCAGGAGGCGTTCGACAGGCCCCGCAGCAGATGGAGTCGCGCGGTGGCCCGAGACGCGGGGCCGCCCCAGATCTGCTCGCAGGTGGACGGGCGGAGGTCGACGATGCTCGGAGGGAAATCGGCAGGAACTACGGTCTCCCAGCGGACGCGGTGGACAAGCTGCCGCCGATGGACCTCCAGATGTGTGCCAAGCTGTTGCCCGTTCTCATGAGGGCGGTCTTGGGCAACAGCTTCAACATCAGAATGTTTCTCGCGGCGGAGTTCGTCACCGTCACGATGGACGATGGGGGGGAGATCAAGGCGGGCATCCAGGCGGGCAGGGCGTATGCATCGGAGGCGGCTCGGATGAGGGACGAGCACCAGCAGGGCGCGGGCAAGCCTTTGCCAGAAGTGCAGATGGGCCCAGCGTGCGTGCAGATATTCCTGGTAGTGGCGAAGAAGATCGTGGATATGGGCGACAAGGTGGGGCACCGCAACGCAAAGGGGTGGGCCGAGCACTTCGGCAAGCTGAGTGCGATGCAGTCGGTGGCGGACCTCATCATGGTGATCAAGGGGTTCCGAGTGAGCAGTGCGTTCAAGGAGGGAGTGGCGAAGGTGGTGTTCTCGCTCGCGGATGCGGCGATGCAGCGCTCGTTCCAGGAGTGCCTCGTGCAGCTCGGCGGGGAGGTGCGACCAGGGCTGGCTCCACGGTCGCACGCGGAGAGGCTGATGCAGGTCGCATTGGACGAGCTCGAGCTGTAGGCGCCAGAGCGCAAGTCCCGACTTGCTGCGCCTCGAGGCCAGTTCGGGCATTGCCGTCGTCACGGATAGCTGGATTCGGAGGTGCCAGATCGTAAAATCCTGGGGGGAAGGAGCCTGGGGGCCAACCCCCAGGTTTCGTCGCCACTCTTAGAGCGCAAGTCCCGACTGGCTGCTCCTCGAGGCCTGTTCGGGCATCGCCGTCGCCATGTATAGATGGATCGGAAGCTGTCAGATTGCCAATCGTCGGCACCAGTGGCGCCAGCACAAGGGCGCCGAGGCAGGATGATGTGGGCATCGTGCCGAGCGTCTCTTCAGTTTCGCACAAGCTGCAGGGTGAGAAGGGGATCGTGCAGTCACGGCGTGCATCACCGAGGGAGCCAACTAGTTCGAGCGTTCAGAGGACCAGGTCAAGTCCGCAGATGTCAATGAGATCAGTTTCATCGACGGCGGCAGGGGGGACAGGTGCGGGGAGCCAGACGACAAGGCCTGCTTCTCTGGTCGGGTGGTCGGCTGGAGTTTCCAGGTCGGGTGAGTCTGCGGAGCACGTGATGCCAGCGTCCCAGGAGGCCGCCCCCGCCGCTGCTTCCCTGTGTCCTGTCCCTCCCCGTCCTCCTTCGAGACCTCCCTCCTCCCCTCACTCCTTCAAAGACCTAGTGGCGTATGCTTTGAAGTTTTGAGTTGGCCCATCGGCCTGGCCTCCTGGGGCCACCTGCGTGTTTTCTCTTTGTGTGCCCGATCCTGGGATCGAGCAAGGACAACTTGGGGCCCCCCCTCGCCTGGAAGGGGGGGGGGGGGGGGGCTGTCGTTAACCCGCATCTTATGCGCACGATAGGTCGCACGTAGCTACTGGTGCCCGAGAGCTCTGCTATGTGGTCTTGGACGAGACATTCGACCCGATATCGCTCCGTCGCCGCCGCCTCCTCCTCCGCCTCCTTCTCCTCCCTCATCCCCCTATCCATGCTCCCTCCTTCTCCTCTCCCTCCATACTCCTCTTGCTCATCCCGCATTCCCTCCCTCCCTCCCTCCCTCTCTCCCTTTCACGCTCGCTTCTTCGTTCCCGACGACTTGCTCGGTGAGGAGCTGGGCACTCGTCTCTCGCGTTTCTGTTCAGCTCTTGGTGTGAGGCAGGTGGATTTCGTGATCTGCCATGGAGCCCCCGCCCGGCAACTGGAGCGAGGTGGTGAGCCCGTTCGACGTGGTGGACCAGGAGACATATCATCTTCTGAGGCGCCCTTTGCCGGTGACTCCGGCTCCCGTTGCTATGAAGATGGAGGCGGATGGGCAGCTGGTAAAACGCCTGCGGAGGTGGGACCGCCAGCGGGAGGCTGCTGGAGCTCCGGCGGCCGGCAAGCATCTCTTGCCGGCGCCGCTTCCGGCACCGGCGGCCTCGGCTACGTCCAACCCGAAGCAGGCGACGGCTCTATTCTCGGCCCCGATGAGGAAGGAGAAGTTCGAAGGTGCCTGCGCGGGGCCCCCGGCATCGCCAGCAGTTCCGGAGGCGAGCAGTGTGCTTCTTCCGGAGCCTCCGGCCGCTCCGAAGGCTCCTACGAAGGTGATCGTGATCCCGGCTCCGCCTGCGCCTCCTTCGGCGGAAGGATCCCGGCGCCCCCGGAAACGCAAGCACAAGAAGAAGGCGGGGAAGGACGCCCGTTCGGAGGAGGCCAAGCTGGGCTTGCAGGAGTGGCCTCAGCCGCCGCCTCCGCCGGCCCGTATCGTGCGCACCCCGCCCAGGAAGAGGTAAAGGCTCGGCGAAAGAGACACAGGAAGAAGAAAGACAACCCAACTTTGGCTGAGCCTCTCAGTGAGGCTCGCCTTTCGGCTGAGCCTCTTAGTGAGGCTTGCCTTTCGGCTGAGACTCTTCGTGAGGCTCGCTTGCATTTTTCGTGTTCGGCTGAGCCCGTGTCCGGGGCTCGCCCAGATGAGTGCTCTGATGTGGTTGGTCTGGTTGGTCTGGAGCCGCTTCCTTCGGTTGAGGCGATCCCCGATCAGGCGGTAGCACATTCGTCTTCGGGTGAGGCGGAGGGCTCGGCAGGGACACTGCAGCATTTTTCACGACCCGACGTTGCGACGGGATCTTTACAATTGGGCGCGAAGACGCCTGAGGGTTCGAGTTTTGATGTGGGCGCAAGGGCGCCCTCCATCTCGGACTGTGCTTTGCTCCGCCGCTTTTCTGATGGCGTCGAGGTGATAGAAGTTCTGCGCGCAAAGCCGTGGCTGGTGGAACCTGTTTTGAGTGCGGCGTCTCGGTTGGTCCTGGCGGAGGTTTCCACCCTCATGCCAGTAGTATCAGCCTTGCAGGCGCCCAGTTCTAGCCGGTAGTCTCAGTCATGCAGCTGTTCACTTAGTAGCTCCTGCACCCAATTTTCTTGCTACCATGTTTTAACCCGCCTCGGAGTTTGGCATGGCATCGCACACAGTGAAAAAATCCCTCCCTCTCTCCCTCTTGCTTCTCCTCCTCCTCCTCCTCCTCCTCCTCAGCAGCATCGGCATCATCAGCGTCAGCATCAGCATCAGCATCACCATCAGCATCACCATCAGCAGCTTCATCATCATCAGTATCAGTATCACCATGATCATCATCAACAGCATCATCATAATCATCATCAACGTCAGCATCATTATCAGCGTCCTCATCAACATCATCACCACCATCACCATCAGCATCCGCATCACCATCATCACCATCATCGTCATCGTCATCACACAGCATAATCAGCATCAGTATCATCAACATCATCATCCACATCATCATCATCACCGCCATCATCATCATCATCATCATCATCATCATCATCATCATCATCATCATCATCATCATCATCATCATCATCGACACCATCATCATCGGTATCATCACCTCGATCCGCGTATTTATCCTCATCCTCAGCCTCCTCTTCCTCCTCCTCCGCCGAAGCATCATCATTAACAGTGCCATCAGCATCGTCAGCATCATTATCATCATCAGCATCAGCATCAGCATCATCATCATCATCATCATCATCATCATCCACAGCCTCATCACCATCATTATCCGCATCTCCATCCTCATCCACATACTCATACTCATACTCATCATCATCATCATCATCATCATCATCATCATCATCATCATCAACAACAATAACATCATGATCACCATCAGCAACAGCACCACCAGTATCCGCAAGAACTTCATCCTCATCCTCACCCTCATCCTCTTTCTCCCCCTTCTCCTCCTCCTCCTCAGAAACATCATCATTAGCAGTATCATCATCATCACCATCACCATCACAATCACCATCACCACCATCATCATCATCATCATCATCATCATCATCATCATCATCATCAATCATCATAATCAGAATCATCATACTCATCATCATCATCATCCTCAAAATCATCATCAGTATCATCTTCATCAGCATCAGCGTCATCAGCATCAGCATCATCGTCATAATCACAATCATCACCATCAACATCAGCAACATCAGTATCCTCAGCATCGTCATCATCATCATCAGCAGCACCAGAATCATCATCATCGTCAATAGTATCAACACCATCACCGACATCAACATGAGCATAATCGCCATCATCAACAACAACAGCCTCAACATCACCAGCATCATCATCCGCGTAATCACCATCACCTTCACCATCACCATCACCACCATCATCATCAGCATCTTCATCACCAGGATCAGCATCAGCAGCAGCACCATCGTCATCATCATCAGCAGCAGCAGCATCTTCATCAGCATCATCAGCATCGTAATCATCATAACCATCACCATCAGCAACATGATCATCACCATCATCATTCGCATCACAATCATCATCATCATCATCATCAGCATCATCAGCATCATCATCATCATCATCATCGTCAACAGCATCAGCAGCAACATCATCATACTCTGCATTATCTGCAGCATACGCATCAGCATCACCACCACCACCACCACCACCACCATCATCATCATCATCATCATCATCATCATCATCATCGTCGTCGTCGTCGTCAACAGCAGCACCAGCATAAGCATCACTATCTAATCCTGCAGTCTCCTCCTCCTCCTGCCTGCGTCTCTCTCTTCCTTTCTTGCACCTCCTGCAGATGCAACTATGATCAGTGTCATCCTCATCTTCAGCCATGCAACTCCTCCTCCAACTGCTCCTCCTCTTTCTCCTCCGCCTCCTCGAAACCATGTGGGCAAATTGTTCAAGCTGCGTCCACATGTGGTGGCGAGGAGGCCCACGGAAGGCAAAACGAGCAGCAGCAGCAGCAGCAGCAGCAGCAGCAGCAGCAGCAGGGCCCTGCACCCCAGCGCGCTAACCGAGGTAGGCGTACTCCTCCACCACGCGCATCAAGGGCACCACGCGGACCACTGCGCCGCCTCCCTCCTCGGCGGGCACCTCTCGGGGAGGGGGCCCGGGCGCGGAGTCACGCACGGGCAACCCGAGCCACAGCCAGGGACCTCCCAGGCCTCCTGCCTGCTTTGCTGCCTTTTGTGGGGGGCGCAGCGGCGGAGCGCAGCTCTGAAAGCTGGCCGGGATGGGTTCCTCGAGGGGGGAGGGGGTCAGGGGACCTGGTCCGAGTAGATGTTGCCAAAACTTCTGGAGACTCGAAAATACCGCTCCAGACTTGTCTTGCCGCCTCCGGCCTCCCAAGGGGCATCTCCAGATCCGAAGACCGTTATGCAAAAAACGACCTGGGATGCGGAAAAATGTCCTGGGAAAGGGTCGAGAAGTCCATGGTCTGACGACTCGGTCTGGCGACTCGACCGAGCGAGTCGTCCATGGTCTGAAGAGCTCGGCGCAGAGAGCTCTGAAATATCAAAGAATGAGTATACACGATTCGTGCTAGAAGCGTGTTTATCTTCCTTTATCCACAATGTCACAAACGACCCCACTGCTTGCACCCCCCCCGCGATCCCCCTACCCCTTCTACTCATCGATCTCTTTTGTCCTTGTTGTGTTCTCCTCCTTCTCCTCCTCCTCCTCCTCAATCGTCCTCCTCCTTCTTCTGAATCTCCTTCTCCCCAGACATCCGGCAGCATGATGTGTCCGTAGCATGGCACCAGTGGACCTCTCGACCTCTTCCCCGAGATTGCCAGAGTTCTGGGCAAAAGCACTTAAAGCAAATCCCACCAGCCCTCTGGGCGTAGGTGGTCTAGAGCAGATCCTCTTCCACCCCTCCCTCTTCCCCCTTGGGGAGGGGTTTACCCCTCCCCCTACCCCCTCCCCTGGACCTGGACGGGGGGGGCCGCGGGTAGTTAGAGCGTCCAAGATGGCCCAAGACGGCTCCAAGAGCGCCTCAGAGAACCCAAGATGAGCTCCAAGATGGCTCAAGATAGCGCAAGATCGCTCACGATGGCTCCTAAGATGGTTCCAAGAAGCCCAAAGACGGCCCCAAGATAACTCCAAGTGGCCAAACAGCTCCCCAAGGAGGCCCCGAAGAGGCCAAAATCGTCCCAAAACCTAAGGAAAATCAATGATTTTTGCTTTCTCGCCTTTTCGCTTCCGATGGCTATCCGAGGCCTGGAGATGGCTCCAAGATGGCCCAAGAGGGCCCCAAGAGAGCCCCAAAAGAGCCCCAAGACGGCCCCAAGAGCGCCCAAGAGCACTCCAAGAGCGTTCCAAGAGGGGTCCAAGAGGCGATTTTAGGGCCTTCCGAGGGGGGACGCTAATTAAACCCCCCCTCTTGTTTGATCGACTCCCTCCAAGATGGCCCCAAAAGCGCCCCGAAGGCTCCCCAGAGCGCCTCAAGAGGGTCCCAAGAGGCGCCCAAGATGCCCCAAGGCGCCCAAAAAGCCCTCCAAGAGGCCCTCAAAAGACCCCCAAGAAGCTCCTTCCCCTCCTCCTCCTCCTCCTCCGATTCTTCCTCCTTCTCCGTCCTCCTCCTCCTCCTCCTCCTCCTCCTCTTCCCCCTCCTCCTCCTCCTCCTCCTCCGACGACGACGACGACGACGACGACTCCTCTTCCATCCTCCCCCTCTCGGGGTCTGTGACAGCTTCCCCCGCCCTTTGTTATTCTGCATGCTCCCCGACTTCCCTGATCACCTCAACTCCCCTGAGCATCGTTTCTGGATGGGCTGGTGGGGATACGCGAAGCGTCAACAATTTAAGAGGGGGGGGAGCGGTCGCCAAAGTTCGGGCCAAAATCCTGTTACAATCATCCCCCGGACTCCAGACACCTCCCGGAGACCATCCTCGCCAAATTTTCGAACTGCGCCAAGCCGTGACAGTGTGAGCCACCCAAGAAGCCCTCAAACAAGCAAGTCGACAGAACAGGGTATCTGGTTCCTCCTGGTTCGCCCCGTCATTTTCCTGGTACAGGGCGTGGCCAAGGATTCTCTATTAGTTTTGTTGCCAGGGGCAGGGTCTTTACCTGCGACGGGCTGGCGAATTTATTTGCGATAAACAACGAGGCCGCGTAGGGCCAGCGAAAAACAATTTCACGATGTCCCGAGCGAAACGCTCGTTTTTGACATTCCGATCGATAAAACAGAAGGTGCGGGACACATTTGTGTCAGGGGCACACATTTGTGAGGCCCCACGAGGGCCCATGTCACCCAGGGGGGCATCCAACATGATTGTCCCGAGCTGGCACCACGTGTTTTGACGTGTCCAGGCCACCCGAGAGGGTATCTAACATGACTGTCCCGAGCTGGAACCATGTGTATTAAAGTGTCCAAGCCGCCCGGGGGTGTATCTAACATGGTTGCCCAGAGCTGGCACCTCGTGTGTTTACGTGTCCAGGCCACCCAAGGGGATATCTAACATGGTTGACCACGTGTTTGTACGTGTCCAGGCCGACCAGAAAGGGGTATCTAACATGGTTGCACCGAGCTGGAACCACGTGTTTTTAGTGTCACCCAGTAGGGTATCTAGCACGACTGTCCCGAGCAAAGACCACGTGTTTTCACGTGTCCGGGCCACCCAGAGGGGGTATCTAACATGACTGTCCCGTGCAAGGGCCACGTGTGTTGACGTCTCCAGGCCACTTAGGGGTGTGGATGATATGGTTGTCCCGAGCTGGCACCACATGCTTTTACATGTCCAGGACACCCAAGGGGGTATCTAACATGGTTGTCCCCAGCTGGAACCATGTGTAAAGTGTCCAAGCCACCCAAGGAGGATATCTAACATGGTTGACCACGTGTGGCTGCAACACAATTGGGACTGGCCGCGGACTAGCGGTGTCCACGCTGCGCTCGCGATGGCGTGCCATCTAGAGCCACAGTGGCAACGGACAGAAGAGGAGGAGGAGGAGGAGGAGGAGGAGGAGGAGGAGGAGGAGGAGGAGGAGGACGAGGAGGAAGACGAGGAGGAGGAGGACGAGGAGGAGGAGGCAGAGGAAAGAAGGAGGAGGATACACATATGAATAAGAAGAGGAAGAAGAGGAGGAGGAGGAGGAGGAGGAGGAGGAGGAAGACGAGGAGGAGGAGGAGGCGGAGGAGGAGGAGGAGGAGGAGGAGACGGAGGAGGAAGAGGAGGAAGAGGAGGAGTAAGGCTCCCAACGGAGAGAGGTGGCGTAGCACGCGCTTACCAGCAAAGCTCCCAAGAGCGAAGGGTGCCATGATCCATCTCGGGCAGGTTTTGAAAGCGCTCTGTCCGTTTCCGTGCCGGCCCATGGCGACTGGCCTTCGTCCCCTCCCGCCACCGTGTTTGGGCGGTGGGCCTCTTGAGTGTTCGTTGGGTTTTCGTGGCAGGCTCTTGGCAACAATTTTGAAGCATGTCGGGGGCGGTTTGGGGGCCTCTTGGGGCCGTTCTTGGGCCTTTCGGGGGGCCTCTCAGGGTTTCTTGGGTGCCTCCTGGGGCCTCCCTGGGGCCTTCCAGGGGCATATTGGGGCGGAGAGCTAGATTTCCAGTGCATGTTCCCTCTCTTGGGCCCCTCTTGGGGCCTTCTTGGGGCCGTGTGGGGCGGCTCTGGGGTCGTCTTGGGGCTCTCTTGGGCTGTCTTTGGGCCTTCCTGGGGGCCTTTTGGGACATCTTCGAGCGGTCTTGGGAGCCTTTTGGGCGGTCATATAGCGTCGGAGGGCCGAGACAGGGAGGAGGCTGAACATAAGGAAAACACAATGGCAAATCAACGTTGTTGGCCTCTTCCTTCTCCGTTCACCCCCTTCCGCCTTTCACCCATCCTTCGCCTCCTCATCTTCCTCCTCCGCTTTCTCCATCACTGTTTCCCCTTTTCATTGGCTCCGTCTTCCCTCTCGCTCTCACCCCCGCTGGTCCTACTTCAACTGTATTATTTGCGTGCCTTCTTCTCATCGCGCGCGACGTTGCTACTGTTCACGGAGAAGTCAGACTTCGGCAACTTCTTCTGGCACTTGCCACTGCGTTGATCGGCTTGCCAAGTGCGCGCCGTGAACCCGTCGACAACGCAATCTGCGCATGCGACTTTGCGTTTCCTCGTGAAATGTTTACTCGCTTGGTCGTCGCTGATGTGCTGCTGCCGAACAAACTCCTTCTTGCACGGTGTACACGTCAACAGTCGCTTCAACTGCTGCGTCTCATCGGCTACCCTCTTCGCGATCTCGCCGCGTTTGATATAGTCCTCGCACACCATTTTGTCTCCTCTCGTCCGATGATGATTCACCTGGTCTCGACTCGAATGGCCTGTCTCCCGAAAACTCACCCCGCATCCTGGCGCGCAGCACTTCAACGGCTCCACCTCTGCCTCCGCCTTGCGTTTCCTATTATTGGACTCGCGCTTCGACCTCTCACGTTCTTCCGCGCATTTCCGACACAGCCGCGCTCCCGCTGCATTGTGCTTCTTCTGTGCATCTGACACTTCCGCCTGCTCATCAAACAGCGCCAGGCACGTCTGCCTCGAGCATCGCACTCTTGATACGCTGTCCTTCCACTTCGCGTCGGCCGCGAGCAACTTTTGTTTTGCCTTGACATCGGTGCACTTGGCACAATGCAGGGTCCGAGTCTTCTTCGCCTCCTCCCCGTCGCCATTACCTCCCACGCTCCCCCGCCAAAACCCAAAAGAGGCCCTGGAGGCTCCGAAACGGCATCCAATATGTCTCAAAGATGCCTCCCCAAGGCCCCCGCGGTACCTCGCCAAAGAAACCAAAAACAAGGGGTCGGCTGATGTGGAGAAAACTTATAGGATCAACGATGTTGGCCTCTTGGGGCCCTCTTGGGAGCCCTCTTGGAGCCCTCTTGTGGCGTCTTGGGGGCCTCTTGGCTCTTCTTCGGGCCATCTCGGTGCGTCTTGGAGCGCTCGCGAGTCGACGAGGGCGGTCTTGAGCGAGTCCGGGCGGCCTCTGGAGGCGTCGGGGAACGCTCGGGACGGTTCCCCGAGGCCTGGAGCAGCCATGGCGACTCGGGGCACCTGGCCAGTGGCCCCTGCCTCTGTTTCCCGGGGCCCCTGAAGTCGGTAAGGACGGTACGAAGACAGAAAAAACGAATATGGTAAAAATGCGGGCTTACGAAGGGAATGGGGTCACTTTTGCCTCTCGGGGCTCTCTTGGGGGACAGATTGCACGTGTTGTGAGGCGCTTGGAAGCCTCTTGGGGGCTGCTTGGGGGCCTCTTGGGGGCCTCAGAGGGTCCTGTTGGGGCGAGGGGCTCGCAACTCCAAATGGAGTTCCCCAGCTCGGGCTCCTCTTGGGGCAATTTGGGAGGCCGTTCGGGCCATCTCCGCTGCCTCTGGGACTGTCTTGGGACGCTCTTGGGCCGTCTTGGCGCCCTGTGGGGGGTCTCTTGGGTCGTGTTGGGGCGATCGTAGGGGCTCCTGAGGCCGTCAAGCACGGTACGAAGACGAAAAACACGAATGCGGTTATCCTGTACGGTTTACAAAGGGCATGGGCCCTTTTTGCCTCTCGGGGCCCTCTGGGGGGTCAAATTGCACGGGTTATGAGGCGTCTTGGAGGCCTCGTGTTGGCTGCTTAGGGGCCTCTTGGGGGTCTCGGGGGTCTTCTTGGGGCGTGGGTCTCGCAATTCCAAAGGGATTCATCCATCTTGGGCTCCTCTTGGAGCCCTCTGGGAGGCAATTGGGGCCGTTTGGGTGCCTCTGGGACCGGCCTGGGACCCTCTTGGGCCGTCTTGGCGCCCTCTAGGGGGCCTCTTTGGGCGTGCAGGGGCGATCTTAAGGGCCCAATGGGGTCGTCAAGGATGATGCGAAGACGAAAACACGAATACGGTGAAAATGTACGTCTTACGAAGGAGTGGAGCTATTTTTGCCTCTCAGGGCCCTCGTGAGAGACACATTGCACGGGTTATGAGGCGTCTTCGAAGTCTCTGGGGCCATTGAAGACGTCCCGTGATCCGTCGAAACCGTCTTCAGGGTGGTTGGTGGCTGGCTGTCGCCGCCGTGACGCTCATCGGATCGCCCTTCGAGGCGACTTTGGGCACCGCAAGGTCTGGCCAGGCCCCCGGGCCACCCATTTGTGGTAGGGGTCGTGGCCCCCGGGCCCACGGCACCCCCCCAGTTATATGCATATACGTAGTCCTTTCCAGGTTCGTAGGTCGATCATGTTCTCCATTCGAGTCAAGGGCAGGCCTCCAACGATGCTACCTCTTCGGGGGAGGAAGAAGAGTGAGGAGGAGGAGGCGGAAGGATGAGGAGGAGGAGAGGGAATTCGGGCCAAGCCGGGTCTTGGATTGAACGATGTAATTTCCCGTCCGCGTTTGGCCAGGCTCATCTCGAGGACCTCCTCATGCATAGAGGACCACTGGACGGTCTCAGTGGGGAGTGCAATTAAGTCTGTCACAGCATGTCTCGAAGCTAGACAGCAGAGGAGGGGGAGACGGCAGCAGCAACGCGAGCTCTCGATCGGCGAGGTAAGTAAGACCACCACATAAGTATCTCACAACAAATGGCAGAGGCAGGGAGGGACAGCGGAGCCCGGAGACAAAGGAGCGCAGGAGGGAGTAAAGAGAAGAGTAGAAAACGCGAACGAAACAGACTAGCTAAAACATGCCACGCTCCAACAGAGAGAAGGACAAGTAGCTGAAGAAGAGCAACCGATGAGGAGAAGAAGCAACAACAGCAGCAGAGGATGGACCAACAAATCTAATAGCGCGATTGTTTCGTGGCATGGGCCCCGGGAAGTCTCAACTTGAAGCGTCCGGGCCAGGGCGACGTTGGCTATCGAGCCCCCGTCGGCGTTGTATGGGCGATTGGGGGCCGATGCGCGTCCGCCCCCCGTCCCTGGACTGGAGCGCCCCTCCCCCCGCCCCCCGACGCTGTCCCTGGTGCGGGGGGAGCGGGGGGCTGGCGCGGGGAGGCCGTCGGCCGCAAGAGCGGCCTCGTGGGCCGTGGCCGTGTGCACGCCCAGGGGCCGCACGCTCTTCACGCTCGGCGGCCGCGCCCACCCCTCCTGAGGGGCGGCAAGGAAGGGGGGGTCGGGCGGGGGGGTGGGGCGTGCCGGGGCCCAGCGGTGCGGCCACGCTCGACACGCTCGACGACTCCGCTCTGTATCGCGAGCGGTGAGGGGAAGAGGAAGAAGGCTGATACGAAAAATATCAGGGAGGAGGAGAAGAAAGAGGAGGAGGGGGGAGGGAGCACGCGGATGATGAGGTTGGCAACGGTTGGCACCAAACAGGAGCATATGCCTGGCCGCACTGCAACTGTAAAATATTATAACTCCACGCCACTTACACCCGACAATCTGTGCTGCACGGAATTGGAGAGGGAGAGGGAAGAACGGGAGGAGGAGGAGAAGGAGAAGGAGGTGGAAGAGGAAAATGCTGGCCCCCCCCTGAGCTGGTCCCCCCGGCGCGCGGTGGCCGCCCCATCCGAGACTGCGCGGCCCCCTGGCCTCCCTGGCGAGGCTCGATCCTGGCAATGCGGCGCTGTCTGTCTCTGGCGGCGCTGTCTGTCTGGTTTCATGCCTCGCAGTTCTCACTCCATTTCCGGGTTCGTGGGTGGATCATGTTCCCAGAAAGTGCATAGGCCTAGGGTTCTCTTTTAGATGGTTTCCCCCCTGGCCTCGACTTGAGGTGGGCCAGCGAATCGAATCCGCGATAAATGATGAGGTCGAGGTGGGCCGTTGAATTAAACATTGAGGATGTTCCGAACGAAACGCTGGTTCTTGAAATTCCAATCGATAAAACACCGGGTAAAGTAAGCATGCGCGCTTGTCGCGGATGTCTCGAACGAAACGCTTGTTTTGCATTACTTGTTGAGGATGTCTCGAGCGAAACGTTTGTTTTGTGCTATAGATCGTTCCTCTCCTGGGGACCAGAATTCAGAGGATGTCTCAGGTGAATTGTTTGTTGTCACGTGCCCAGGCCTTGAGGATGTCTCGAGCGAGACGCTTGGCTTCACGCCTCCAGGTTTGCCCAGGCAGATGTCTAACATCAAGATGTGTTGAGGATGGTTCGGGCGATACGCTTGTTTTCACGCGTTCAGGTCGTACAGGCAGATGTCTAGCATGAGGATGTGTTGAGGATGTCGCTCGAGAGAGACGCTTGTGTTCACGCCTCCAGGTTGCCCACGAGGATGTGTTGGGAGAAACGTTTGTTCTCACGTATCCAGGTGGCTCAGGCGGATGTCAAACATGAAGATGTGTTCAGGATGTCTCGAGAGAGACGCTTGCTTTCACGTGTCCAAGTCGCCCAAGCGGATGCCTAGCATGAGGATGTGTTGAGAAGGTCTCGAGCGAAACGCTTGCTTTCGGGTACCCAGGTTGCCCGGGCGGACGTCTAACATGAAGATGTGTTGATGAAATCGCGAGAGAGACGCTTGCTTTCAAGTGTCAAGGTCGCCCAGGCAGATGTCTAGCATGAGGATGTGTTGAGGATGTGTTGAGCGAAACGCTTGCTTTCACGTGCCCAGGTCGCCCAGGCGGATGCCTAAGATGAAGATAGTTGGAGGTTGTCCCGATCGACACGCTGGTGTTCGTGTGTCAAGGTCGCCCAGGCGGATGTCTAGCATGAGGATGCGTTGATGATGCGTTGAGCGAAACGCTTGGTGTCACGTGTCCAGGTCGCTCAGGCAGACGTCTAGCATGAGGAGGTGGTGGGAACGTCTCGAGCAAGATGCTTGGCTTCTGGTGTCCAGGTCGCCCAGACGGATGTCTAACATGAGGGATTGTAAAGGAGATCTCCAGCGAAACGCTTGTCGCAATAGAGTGCGTTGAAGTCCAACCCCACCCGTCCGTGGGGCGTCCCCTAGCGCCCTGGCGTGCACCCTGGCGCGTCCCTTGCGACGTTCAGGCGTGACGTGCCCTGGCACGTCTCCTAGCACGCCACTCGGCGTGGCATGTTCCCTGGCTCGTCCTCTGTCACGTTTTCTTGCTCGTCCCCAGGCGTTTCCCCTGCCCGTTTCGTGGCGGGCCCCTAACAATGTCCCTTGGCATGACGTCTTCTGGCCGCCCCATGGCACGCGCTTTGGCACGTCCCGTGGCCGGTCCCTGACACGTTCAGGGCACGTCCCCTGATGTGTCCCCTGACACGTCCCCTAGCGCATCCCATTTTGCGCCCCTGGCACATCCTGTAGTGCGTCCGTGAGCCTGTGCCCCGTGTCGCGTCGTTTCTTTTCGGAGCTGAGTCGGATTTTGAGGTCGAGTTGATTGAACGTCCTCCACGTTTCCACTTCAACTAGCTCTTGGGCGGCTACCATGTGCTCAGGCAGCTCGAGCTTAAGATCCAGATCAGTTCGGTCAGGATTCGAATGCCAAGGAGGACTCGATCCACAACGCTATAGAACACAATCGCGGCATGACACATCGCAGTTCAGCACGGCACGGCACAGTACAGCCCTGTGCACAGTACACCAAGATCGATACAGAAAGCATTGCAATTGCCCGTCGCCCGATCAAATGTCTTGAAAACGTTGCAATGCCTCACAATTCCATATCCCTTTCCGGGCTCGTGGGTCGATCAAATTTCTCCTCAGCTTCATCATAAAAAGCCACCGCTGGCAACACGGGAACGCGGCACAAACCGTCCTTCCACAAGCGAACCTTCTGTAGGCGACCCTGCGTCGTCACGGGGGGTATTTTACCTCAATCCCCAAATTGTTGGCCTACTCGACTGGTCAAATCAAGCAAATCTTTGGGATCCACGAGAGGGGGGGCGTCCATCCAAGGCAGGGGTGCGGCCGAATCGCCCCACGGGGCTGTATCCCCCAGCGCCCCCTCTCCTCTGAGCGGCCTGACCGTTCTTGGGGGAGAGCTCGGGGAGCTCGGGGGCGAAACATCCCCTGCGAAGCTCCTGGCTGTGGTCGCCGGCCTCCAGCAGGGACCGCCGCAGCGGCTCGGCCAGCAGCCCGCGTAGCGCGTCGTGGTCCCGCTCGCCAAGCAGGGCGTGCAGCGCCCGGACCGCCTCGCCGCCACCGCGGGCGCTCTCGAGGACCGATGCCCGAGGCTCGACGGTCGAGGGCCGTCCTCGAGGATCGAGGCTCGAGGGTCGGGGGTCGGAGATCGAGCCGAGGCTCGATGGTCGGGGGTCGCCGCCGACGCCGATAGCGAGGAGCGCAGTTTCTGGACGGTCAGACGAGCGCATTCTCCCTCTCTCTCTCTCCCTCTCTCTCGCTCTGTGTCTCTCTTTTCCATGTTCTCTCTATCTCTCTGTTCCCCGGAAAAGGCACCGGCCAAGGGTTCTCTTCTGGATCGTAGACCTGTCCGCAAGTGCCGAGTTCGCGTAGGGCCAGGACATGCCCGCTCGATTAAATAATGAAATGTTATGTTAATTAAAAAATGTGGTTCACGCGCGCGCGCTCGAGAAAGGTAAGCACCCCATCTCGGATCCTCGACATCTAGCGAAGTCCGCAGACCTCCGCTTGCCTTCGCAAAACAATGTCGAAGCGTTTAGCGCAACATCCTGGGTGAATAACGAGGCCTGGAGGCGGAGCAAGTTCGCAAAACAATTGTTTGTTGCTGTTGGTGCTGTTGAATTTTAATTTTTGAAAGACAAATCATTGTTGATCCCCCCCGCCCGGTGCACATTGTATATTTCCATTGAAATGCCCGTCCCGGAGCTCCACCCTGCTTTTTTTACCAGGGAAAGTCTTGAGGCTCAAACTGTGTCGTTGGCCCCTGTTTAACAACAGTAACGGCTCCCGCCAGATACTTACCAAATGTATTGAAGAATCGCGCTCCCATATCTGGGACGTCCTCGCATTCAATTCAGGAATCGCGCTCTCGCTTGGGACTTCTTTGCAATGTATTCAAGAATCGCTTTCTCGGCGTTCTGGAGTCGCGATCTCGCTGCAGACTTGCTTGCAATTTACTCAAGAATAGCGCCCTTTACGTTGGAAATGCCCGCAATGTACTCACGCGCCGCGCTCCCGACACTCAGGCACCCAGGAGTCGCGCTCACGCTTAGGACTCCCTCACAAAATACTTAGGAATCGGGATCTCGCTGCCCTTCGTGGCCCCGTCGCAGCCCTTCGTGGCCTCTTCGCTGCCCTTCGCGAACCCGTTGCAGCCCTTCGTGACCCCCTCGCTGCCCTTCGTTGCCCCGTTGCAGCCCAATCGTGAAAGTACGTCGGCTTCTAACGCCCAAGGGTGGGAGAAGCGTGAACACACATGGGTTCCTAACGCCCAAGAGAGGGACAAGTGTGAAAACACGTGGTGCTCAAACGGTCCAGGGCGGGACAAGTGGGGCAACACTTGAGTTCCTAACGCCCCAGCGCGGGACAAGCGTGAAAGCACATGAGTTCCTAACGCCTCAGAGCGGGACAAGCGTGAACAAACATGGGTTCCTAACGTCCCAGAGCGGGACGGCGTATGTCCCTCCCCTCTCGGCGCGTCCACTGGCTCGTCCTTTGTCGCGTTCCCTGGTTTGTCCACTGGCGCTTTCCCTGCCCGTTCCGTGGCGCCTCCTTTGCCACGTCCCCTGGCACATCCCCTGGCGCATCCCCTAACGCGCCCCTGGCACATTCCGTGGAGTCCATGTGCCCTGCGCCCCGTGTCGTCTCGTGCCGCTCCGGAGCTGAATCGGATCTTGAGCTCGAGCTGCATCATTTTTCAACATCAACTGCAACCAGCTCTGGGCCAGCTATGGCATAGCTGGCCCAGGGCTGGGTGCAGTTGAAGCCAAGTGCGACTTGATCCACAACACTATCGAGCAACGCGCAATTCATTGCGGCATGACACTTCTCATTCCAGCACGGCACAGCACAGCACAGTCATTGGCGCGGTGCATCACAGCCAATACCTTCAGCATTGCAACCGCCGGTCGCCCAACCAGGCGTCTTGAAAATGTAGCCATGCATCCCTTTTCTAAATTCCTTTCTGGCGTCGTGGGTCGATCATGTTGGCTTCATCGGGCTGTATCATGGCCAGACAATCGCACTGCGCATGGCCAAATGGAAATGCATGTTGTTTGAGGTCTGAAGGCGTGCTGGCGCGGGCAAGCGATCCGCCCTCAGAGCTCGGATCACCAGGTCGCAGCCGTAGAACGACCCCCCCCGAAGATTATGAGCAATCTCCTGGAATGCAGATGGTACGTAAGCCTCGGCAACCCACAGCCTTTGATGCCCCCCCTTCCAGCAACACTCTCACGTCCGTGGGGGAAGCTGCAAGAGCCCGTACGTGATTCACTCGTCGATTCCCTATGCAAAAGCGAGACAACAGCCCATCCAGTTCGTTTCAAAGAAAGCGAGGTCGCCGATAGAGCTCCTCGAGCGCCAGCCTAGGTAAGCGCTGACTGCACAGGCAGAAGCGATACTGTATGTCCCAATCGCGACGCAGGCCGAACATCATCATACGACCATCCAGGCAACACATTGATGGCTGCACAGCAAACTCGTGGTCGCATCATAGGCTAGGTCGCACGGAACTTGCCTCTGACAACGAAGTCCTGCAGTCTTGTGCACTCCATGCTTGCTGCCCACTCAGAGAGCAGCGACACTGCCGTCCTGCGTCAAGGGCATCACACATGCCAGAAGCACCCGCGCAATGCGCAACAAGTGGATGAGCTCCAGCCCCGCACCAGAGATATGCCTTCCCCGCCACGTATCTGAACATCAGGAGGTGTCATTGAATATCCTTATCATGATTGGTTCGTTCCTTGTCATGCAATCGTGAAGGCCGAGCTCCAGTGGTGTCATGGCCAAGCTTACCCATCCAAGGCCATCTTGGACGTACCTGCGACGATCTTGCGAGAGGCGTTGGTGGCCGCCGCGATGCCCGACCTTTTGAACCGGAACCACCAGCCAAGTATGCGCGAATCCTCTGGAGGATCCGAGCCGCCACGTGCAGACTTTGGACGCTGTTCGGGTCGGCGGCCACGAACTAGGTAGACACGTCGTCCATCAAAGCCCGCGGGGTCAGCTGCGGGTAGGCGGGGCGCAGCCCCAGAAGCACCCGCACGGTGAGCACCTCGAATCTGCAAACAGCATGCGCACAGCCCGCGAACAGACCCTGATCGGTCCAGATTGAAGGCGACATGCTACCATGTACCCTGAATCGTGGCGGCAGTTGTTACATGCGAGGCAGCATCCAGAGCATGCGTGGAGGGTCAAGCCCATCTTTAAACAACTGCGACGGCCCCACATAGACCAATGCCTTCGTCACGTTCAGGAGCGCCGTCGCCGTGAATTGCTTACGTAACACAACCATCTCACACGTCAAGTTGTGGGAGAATGCACCGTCCGAGGACGTGTACCTCATGCGGTGACTCCAGACTTGCAGTCGAACCAATTGCCCGCATCAGGCTTGAGGATACAACACATTGAGAATCATGGCACCATGACTGATCTTTGGGGGAGGAGAGGAGGAGGAGGAAAGAGTAGGAGGAGGATGGGGCAATGGGTGAGATGAATGAGGGACGATGAGGAGCGCAAGTAACATGATGATGAGAACGAAGAGGAGCCAACGAGAGAGAGATAGAGAGAGAGAGAGAGAACGAGAGAATAGGGACAATGAGGACGATGCGAGAAAGAGGGGAAGGATCAGAGGAGGCAGGAATAGGAATACCTATACGACCACCCTTCGGCTGATAAACATCAGACTCAATCAATCTCACTATCGATCTCACTCAACGGGACACCGCGGGACACCACGGGACACTTGTCGATCTCACTATCGATCTCACTATCGATCTCACTCAACGGGACACCCCGGCGGGCCACCACGGGACACCGTGGGGCACCTCTCGATCTTACTATCGGTCTCACTATCGATCTCACTATCGATCCCACTCAACGGGACACCATAGGACACCACGGGACACCACGGGACACCTCGGGACACAACATCGATCTCACTATCGATCTCACTATCGATCTCACTCAACGGGACACCACGGGTCACCACGGGCCACCACAGGACACCTGCCGATCTCCCTATCGATCTCACTATCGATCTCACTTTTTTGGACACCACGGGACACCTCGGGGCACCTCATCGATCTCAGTATCGGTCTGACTATCGATCTCACCAACGATCTCACTAAACGGGACACCACGGGGCACTACGGGACACCTGTCAATCTCACTATCGCTCTCATTTTTTGAGGACACCACGGGACACCTCGGGGCACCACATCGATTTCAGTATCGATCTCACTATCGATCTCACTATGGATCTCACTATCGATCTCACTCAACGGGACGCCACGGGACACCACGGGACACCACGGGACACCACGGGACACTGCCGGACACCACGGGACACCGCCGGACGGACGGACGGACGGGCGGGCGGGGGAGAATCAGTTGTCTTGACTTCGCCCTGGCAACGGCGGACACCACGGGACACCACGGGACACTGCGGGACACAGCGGGACACCGCGAGCTACCGCCGGACGGACGGGAGGGGGAGAATCATTTGTCTTGACTTCGCCCTAGCAACAGCGGACACCACGGGACACCACGGGACACTGCGGGACACCGCTAGGGCCACCGCCGGACGGACGGACGGACGGGGGAGAATCATTTGTCTTGACTTCGCCCTAGCAACGGCGGATTCCACGGGACACCACGGGACACTGCGGGACACCGCTAGGGCCACCGCCGGACGGACGGACGGGAGGGGGATAATCATTTGTCTTGACTTGGCCCTAGCAACGGCGGGTTCATTCTTCTCGCGCGCCCACGCAGCTTCGCCTCGCCCGCACGCACAACACGAACGAAACGAAACGATTTCACGGTTGGGGGTCTCCGTTCCACTGCGGTCTCACCCCCCAACCTCCGACTACGGAGGATTGAGGGGTAGATGGATATAAGATAGAAGGCGGAAGAACAGGGGGCAGGGGGAAAAGAGAAGAGGGAAGAAGCCAGGGAAGATGCGAGTAAAAGGAGGAGAGTGAGACGAGGAAGGTGGAAGAAAGGAGGGGTAGGGGGCGGATGAGTCAGAAGGAGGTGGACAGGAAAGGAG